GGGGCGGCGCCAGTCAGGGGAGGTGAGGGGGTCGGGTGAGGATGAGCAGAGCTAGGGTTTTGGGGAGAGAGAGAGGGGGTCGGGTGAGGTTAGGGTTTTGGGAAAGAGAGAATGTCAGGTTTCAGGGGAAATGAGAAAAGGGAAAGGGAGATGCGTTGCGTTTTTATAGGAACGCAACTCCACTCCACGGGACTTCAGTTCCCGTGGAGTTAATGGGTGGATTTTTCAGAGAAAATCGACTCTCTGGAAAAATCCACCCTATAACTTCACAGGACTTGAAGTCCCGTAGAGTTACAGGGTCAATTTTTCCAGAGAGTCAATTTTCTCTGGAAAAATCAACCTCAAACTTCACGGGACTTCTGAAAGTACCCTAGAAGGGGGGTGAATAGGGTTATTTCTAATCTTATTAGATATTAATGCCGATTAAAACTTACAAGATAGAAATACAATGTGATATGAGTAAGAATAAGCAATATAAACTAAGTGCAATATCCTAACAATGAGATACACAATGAGTTATATGCAAGGATACAATATAAACTAAGTGCAATATCCTAACAATGAGATACACAATGAGTTATATGCAAGGATAAGCAAAAACAAATGTGATAGGGCAATGTCTAACAATGAGATACACAATGAGTTATATGCAAGGATAAGCAAAAACAAATGTGATAGGGCAATGTAAATAATGAGCAATGGTGAATAAAATAGACTAAGCAATAGACACAAAAGATACGCCAATGCAAACTCTAATACACAAAGATGATCATGGAGTTCGGACCTTCCGTCCTACGTCTCTGCTCCCCACTCCCGGGGAGAAATCTACTATCATAACCGGGTTTTCTACACTCACCCGAACATCGTTTACACCTCACAATTCGGTTCTCTAGTTCACCGAAAACTTTACAACACACTCAATTACACTCACACTCTACACCCTCTAAGTGTTGGTCTCTAGCCCGTATTTCCCTCAATTGCTCGGAATTACGACCTACCTCTAGGCATTACTACCGACACCACTCCTCTTAGGATAACCCCGTCTCTTACCACACACTCCTCTCGGTGTACAAGTGTGATACAACGTGTAATACATAATTAGGCACAATACAATAAAATTTTCTCTACAATAGGTGAGAACTCAATGTAAGCTCAATCTCATAAATCATAATCTCACAACCCAATATATGATGTATGAAATGCTACAAACTCAAATAGGGTGTGTGTGATAAAATGAGTATAAACAAAATCTAACTCAATTAACAAACTAGCAATAATTATATATAAAAATTAAAAACGAATTGCTAGAGAATAGAGTTAGGAAAACTTCTCTATAAACACAAAGGAGAGGATGAAGAAGATTGAGGATGAATCCCTCAATTAACAACGTAAGCTTCCTCCTTTGTAAACAAAAACCTCAAACTTAAAACAAACTAAACAAACTTTTGATCTCTTTTAAAACTTGTTTAAAACTCTCTCAAGTTGCTGGAAATAGTTAATGTAAAGGGGTATTTATAGGCTTGAAGAAACCAGCCCAAGAAACCAACAAAATCCTATAAAAACATTAAAATAATCAAATCTAAAAACTAACCGTTACTGTGCAAACGACTATATATAAGTCAACTTAACAGGTGACACAAGTCGACTTGACAGAAGGATAAACACATGCAGAAAGATAGTTTATAAGTCGACTTAGTACAAGTCGACTTATCTTTAAAACAAGTCGACTTAACAGAGAGAAAGAGCATATTCCGAGCTAGTTCATAAGTCGACTTAGCGTAGACTTATAACAAGTTGAAAACTTGATTTTGCCAAAATGACTTAAACAAAAACTTTGAAACACTTTAGAATGGATTTATAGACTTATACAAGATATGAAAATAGTGTAAATAAGTCTTTAATCCATAAACATAATATTTTGCATAAAACCACCTATATTTGAGAAAATCACAAATATATGTGTGTGTGTGTGTGTGTGTGTGTTTGAGCTTATAGAATTAACACACATTATATAAACCCTAAATTAATTTACCTAATCTTGATAGATCTTCATTGTAACTTGACTTGGTTACGGATGAATCTTGATCTTGAATATGACTAGAATGCATAGCTTCACTCCACTATTCCGCCAACATCCATTTAATGTGATCGTGTAGGCTCAATACCATCCATCCTTCAACTCGTTGTTTGTCTAGAATGCCTAATAAGAAAACATAAACACTAGACAAACAATATTAGGAATTGTTTGTAATCATCAAAACAAGATTAGAAAATGTAGGCTCATAACATGAGGCCTAACAACTTCAAGTCCCGTGAAGTTTTTGAAAATTTGAATCTTCACGGACTTAAAGTCCCGTGAAGTTTTAGCAGGTTAACAATTTGGCTGCTAAACTTCATGGGACTTGAAGTCCCGTGAAGTTTCGGAAGTTTTTTTTTTCAAAAAACCAACCTGATTTCAGCGCTGAGGCTGAAACCAGGTCGGTTTTTGTAATTAAGTGTAAATTAGGACGTTTTTTGAGATTAAAAGTCCAAAAGAAACTGTTTACAAAATTAATCATTATGTAGAATAGAGCAAAATTGGAGGCAGTGGGCTAGGGACGGATCCCAAAATTTTGGGGGACCGTGACCCCCTGGACTGTATATAGATCCACCGCTAATCCGCAGCCCACCGGTTCGGTTCCTACTCTCGACTAAAAGAAAAAAAGAAAAAACAGGAGACGTACGTAGACACGTTTGTGATTATGTGAATACGTCTTTTTCATAACTTTAACTCGAACCTAGTACCATGGAAGGTCACGCCACAACGATCTCTTTAATCACCCTCTCGATTTCTCAAGGCCTCACGAGAGTACTAAACAGATTATCCTAACCTAATTTGAACCTAATTTGAAAGTTAAGTGAGAATATCAAGAACAAAATGTAAAGGCCAGCCGACACTCAGCCGACATCGTCTCGTCCCTCCATTCTCCCTCTTTGAACGGTAGAGAATCAAAATCAAAAACTAAAAACTCGTTATATGTCTCTATAATTATTAACATCAATTAATTAATTAATTAATTAAAATTGGGTAAGCGTCATACTATCTATTCCTCTATAATAATTAGAGGATTTAAGATTCAATATTCATACTACAGTAAATACTACAATAAAATACCATAGCATATTACTGTAGCGCAGACAGGAGGATCTAATATTCGCTATTCACGCTATAATAAATTACTGTAGCATTATTATTGTAGCACAAACGGGAACTGTAGCGTTTAAAAAACATTAGTATAGCATTATTACTGTAGCTCAAGTGGGATACTGTAGTATTTAAAAAAATATTACTGGAACACTTATAAAAACTGTATTTAAATAAAGAATTACTGTAGCAGAAATAAAAAAAATGAAGGAGAGTGCAAACTAGGGATTGAGATCCTCTACTAAGTCATAGTGCCTCCTAATATCTCCTAATGTATCTCTACCTTTTATTGCATAATAGTACCTCCTCGTATTTTGTGCTTATGCACAAAATAAAATATGAAGATGCATTAGGGGATATTAGGAGGCACCGTGTGTCAGTATGTGTCAGTAGATGAACTCAATCCGCTAACTAGTGTATTTGATTGGAGGTGATAACTCGACCGTTACATTCCTCCGCGAGACATCGGACACCTAATCTAATAATAACTTTGATAAGCGTTACGCTCACACATGGACCGTGTCCCTTCCTCCGCTCGTCCCACCGACCTTTCAGGCCCGTCCACTCCGAAACTGACACCCACTGGGCCCCGCAGCTCATGATATCCACACTCCTCTTTACACGTGGCGTCTCCTCACCGGCTGCTGCCAAGATGAGGACGCCCCGCTTTAGACCTTTGCCTTTAATAATTCCGTTTCTTTCTCTCAATCCGAAGTAAGTCGGCTGAGTCGCTGCACAGTGCACACCCTGCTCTTTCGGTTTCTATAAATTTCATTTAATTAATTAATTAATGAGAATTAAAACGAGATACTAATTTCCGTCTCGCCCAAAACTACACCCTCTATGGGCGACAGTCTGGGTGAATTTAAGATGCGCAGCTCATTTGCCTCCTTCGCCGCGTTGGTAACGCGTATCCACGTCGCCATAGCAATGGGCCCCACATAAAAGGTCTCTATATATATAGGTCGAAAGGAGGCCCGGTTTCTTCACTCAATATTTCTTATTGCTCTGCTCGCAAACTTTCTAGCGAAAAACTCTTTTTAAGTAATTTCTTTGTTCGATCCGATCGTCTTGAAAGCCAGATGGCGGAAGAGAACAAGGAGACCATGAGGAGCGAGGGCGAGCAGGTGGAGGTGAGCGATCGCGGGCTGTTTGATTTCATGGGGAAGAAGAAGGAGGAGGAGGAGAAGGCCCAGGAGGAGGTTCTCGTCACCGGGGTCGAGGGTTTGAAGGTCGAAGAGGCGAAGAAAGAAGAGGAGAAGAAGGAGAGAATCGTCGATAAGCTCCATCGATCTAACAGCTCCAGCTCCAGCTCCGTAAGTAGTTGCCCTGCGTTCGTTTATCTTTCATTCATTACTTCTAACCTCTGTACTAGTATGTAGATCCTCTTAATTATATATTCCAGAAAAAAAAAAGGGTAGGCTCTAACTCTTTTGATCGTGTTGTCGGCATCGTGCAGTCGAGCGATGAAGAGGAGGTGGGACCAGACGGCGAGAAGAGAAAGAAGAAGAAGGGTCTGAAAGAGAAGCTCGAAGAAAAGCTAGGAGGAAAGAAGAAAGAAACCGAGGAGGAGAAGATCGTGACCGAACAAGACGTCGATGTCGCCCCCGGCGCCGCCGGGCCGCCAGCAGAAAACGTGCGTCGGGAGCAGACACGAGCGTCGTCGGTCGAGAAAATCGAGACGGGGCCTGAACAGGAGAGAAGGCGTTTTCCTCGACAAATCAATGGAAGAAGCTGCCAGGTCATCACAAAGAGAGCCGAGCAGCCGGGGAAGGAATGGTCGGCTGTGGACACTGAAGTGGGGGAAGGGCAAGATGGGAAGGAGAAGAAGGGCTTTTTGGGGAAGATCATGGGGAAGCTGCCGGGGTATCATAAGGAGGAGGGCGAGAAGACCGCTACGCCCCCCGGCCAGTGAAGTAAAGTGGAGGGAGAACGAAGTGACGTTTTATCTGTGAGTGGGGTTTTTCATTGCTGCTGTCGGTGTCTGATGATAGGTGGTTAATTAGTCTTGTCTTGTTTTGCTGGTTTGTAGTTGGATTATGGGGATTGGGTAATGCCCTTGTGCATCTTTTTTTTTTGTGTGGATTTTCTTTAATTATTATGTCTCTAGAGGGTGAGGTGAATGGTATTGATCCATATGTTGTGCATGCCTATGAATTATATGATATGGTTATTTGGTGTTATTATCAGGTTGTGGTTTAGTTTAACTTTCCTTTTGAGCGATGGTTAACTATTTTGCTTTTTCTTTTGCGCTTTATTTAAAGAACAAATGAGTAGGTTTAATGGTGAGCCTTTTTCCTTTTGGGCCGGTGCAGGCTCGGGCACCGGTCCGGACGGGCATAAGTTGGGCCAGGCCTAGCGCTCGGTTTGGGCTGGGATGGGTGGGACCTACTTCTCTAACTCCGACCCTAGGGTTGGACCTACTTCGGCTCATAGCTAACTTGGGTCCGGGCTTGACCAAGCCTAATGTGGTTTGGGTTGCGAATTGGATAAAAGCTAGCATTTTTTTTCTCTCTTGATTTTTTTTATCTTTACTTGTATTAATAGTTATTAAACTATATCTTTGTTTGAACATAAATGTTAGCTATTTGTTGTGATAGAAGCAGTAATTGCTAATATATATTTAGAGGATTTGTTAATAAAACTTTTATTTATGAGCACTAAACGTCTAACTATGACTAAAAAAAGATGTACAGAATATCATCGAAAGATGGAAACAAAACATATAGTTGTATCCCTTACAGTTGTAAAAATCATATGTAGGAAATAGTTATTTCATGAACTTTTTCCTCTTCAAATATAAATATACTAGTGTGCACGCCCCCTTTTTTTAAGCACTGTATTTTAAACTTGTCTCACTCTAAGTTTTAATATATATTAATTTAATTATTGTATTGTTTAAAATGAGAAATCTATCTATTTCTCTATACTTAAAGAAGAATCCAAGTTTTAATACATTTGACTTAGAAATCATATATACTCCTCTATATTTAAAGAAGCATCTAAGTTTTAATACATTTTATTTGCTCTACTGTTTATGATACATTAAATACTATAGCATGAATACTAACTTTTTAGTATGGAGGGATAGTACTGCAGTATAAATAGTAACTTCGAGTGCATAGGACCAGATTTGGTTTACTGTTTACACTACAATATTTTACTATAACATTTACTGTAGCACTAACAATAATTATTTGGATTCTCCTTTAGGTATAAAGGAGTAGATTATACGATTACTTATTGGACGCCACTGAATGTGAACCATTTTCGTATTTATTCTACTAAATATTATAATATTTTTATTATTTTATTTGAAAATTTAAAATAATCATGTAAGCCATAAAAATGCAACTCAAATTTGTAGTGAGATTATTTCTCTATTTTCTTGTTAAATCATATTTCATATACTGATACGTACAATTAAGTTATAAACATTTGAGTTTTACCACATAACTAACATCTAAGAGAAAGATTTGTTTAGATGAAAAATTAATTTTAATTTCCCGTGTCTTTGTATGTGCTAATATGCTAACTATTGTGAAAAAGATTCAATTTTCTTTTTATAAAAAAACACAAGTTACATCTCATTTCACAAATAAACTTAAATATGTAAGAACGATGAGGTTCATCGGTTTTGTCACTAGACTATTTTTTGCTTATCATATTAAGCAAAATGGGCTATCTATCAATTTTCCCTAAAAATAGTACTCACTTAAACATTAAAAGTGTCGCATCTTGCAAGAAACATATAAAAAGAGGGCCATCATGGAGAACCTCTCGTACAAAACTATAAAGAAGATTCCCAAACAACCCAAATAACAAAAGCAGTTGTTAACTCTTCAATCGGTTTTCTTGTTTTTATTTTAAGATGGGCTGATTTTATCTCAGGCTAAAATTTCAAAAAAAAAAATCACGGGCAAGGGTGGGCCGGGTTAGGGATGGGCCGGGCCAGCATGGACCAGACTTATGTCTCTGACCCTGAGCATAAGGCTATGTAGGCGTCAAAAAATGCTTACAGACATCCAAATACCACTTAAGGCAAAGAGAAAATGATAAACGTCATTCTCTTAATCAGAGGGAATCATTCAAAGGAAGTGAGACAACATGTACACACCAACAGCAGCACTTGGTGCCGCGGCTCAGGCGCGGCAGCTCATGATGCCGCGGCTATGGTGCGGCAGTATATGGTGCCGCGGCTGAGGCGTGGCGCATATTAGTATCGCGGCTGAGACCGCCAGCCTAGGGGCAGCGGCTATTATAGGGGTGCTCATGGCAGTTATATTGATGATTAATTTGAAGCCCCGTGCGGCATATCAGAAGATAGAAATATGCTGGAAGTGGACAAGCGGATTAAACCACGAAAAGCGTGTTAAAGTCGTGGAAGACGGTTCAAGCACGATAAAACGTGCTGGTAACTGCTTCTCTTGGCCGCGGCAGTCTACACCGCGCGCGCCAATAGCCGCGACAGTTGTTGCCTATCGCCGGCCACAAAGAGCATTACTTGGTCAGTTGTTTCGCCTCATTTCAATTGGTTGTCGCACTCATACCCCTATAAATACCTCCCTAACATACATGAAATAAAAGGGGAAGAGAGACATTTTGAGCAGAGCAGGAGACTTGGCTTTGTTGATTTTGAGGAAGAAAAGAGAGAATTTTCACCCTTTGACAAGCATCATTTGGGTGATTTCTAGAGATCTAAGGCTCAAGACTTAGGATCTTGGAAGAGTTGAACATCTTACATCGATAAGATATTCTCTTTCAAATCTTTAACTTCTCGATAAACGAAGGAAAGCATCCCCAAAACACCCTCACGATCTGTGAATCGGTGGTCAACGAGCTAAAGCATTCCCGGCACAGGCAAAGTCCCACAAAAGCAGGAGTTGATAAACAATTTCTGTGTTATTTTCTCGAGAGTTGTATTTTCGTTTATTTTCATTGTAATTTCCTGTAAACACATCAAAGTTTTAATGGAATCGACAATGGAGTCAACTTTCGCTGAAAACAAACTGGCGACCACAGTGGGAGCCAGCGGCCTCGCTGCCGAGGCCAGTGTCGCAGCCGATTAAGATCATTGTCACGGAAGAGATCGAATATGAGTTCAATCAGGCGAAATTTGAGGAGTACCTGTCATCCTCATCCTCAAAATCTCCCTCGCCTCGCAGGTGTAGGAAGATTTTTTCTCCCAAGAAAGTTTCTAAGTCTTCAATTCCGACGAAGACCGCAGGTGAAGATTCTTGCCAGGTTCTCTCCAAGGAATCTGCCTGCAACATTTCTGCTCCAAGTGACCCCGCACCAGTTAAGGAGTCACTGAATCATAGTTCACCGGTGCTGACGAAAAGATCTCGTCAGAGACAGCGCCAGCACCGTGCTCGTCAATTGGCTAAGGCCTTACAGCAAACCGACGGGGTCCATTACTATGCGGACCTAAAGTCGAGGAAACAAAAAGTGAACCAGTTACCTCAACGGCAAACTAATCACATCTCTGCACAGCTTACGACGGAGGAATTGACTCTTGTCAAAAGAGCATGTTCTACCCTTAAAGAGCGTATACAAAGACGTCAAGCAAAGGCGGCTCGCGCTCGTGCCCTTCGTCAACAAGCGCAGAAGAACAAGAAGGAAATGGTGTCTGAAAAGCCATCGAAGAACTGCAAAATTTGGGTTCCAAAAACTGAAAATGCCAAAAAATTACAGAACGATGCAGTCCCTAACCGCGGCAGCCCACACCGCCGCGGCAATTTATACGACCGCGGCAGTCATGGTCATGGCTGCCGCGGTAATTTGCTCAACCGCGACAGTTCTGACTGCCGCGGCACTTCATTTGTTCGTGATGGTCATCTCCATCGCAAAACCGCATCTTTGATTCCATCGACACCCGATCCAGTCCCTTCTACTACAACAGCGTCTGCTGCATCACCTGTGAAACCCTGGGTTAGCCCAGATTTATCCAAGTTCAAGATCACAATGGCGGATCGCCTTGGTCCTTCGGTGGACGATCGAGGCAAAACCCCAGTCTCCAAGTTCAAGATCACAATGGCGGATCGCCTTGGTCCTTCGGTGGACGATCGAGGCAAAACCCCAGTCGAAGAAAAATCAGATCCTGTAAATAAACCCTTAGTGGTTTCATATACAGGGGGTCGTAAACACCCTCCTGTCAGAACTACACCGGTCCAGAATGAGAGGATACCAGTTCATTCTCGTTTAGGACCTATGAAGACTCCACTCCCGCAAAGGGGTGGATTTAAAAATTCAACTTTGGATCATGCAGAGGCGACGACCAGTCGTCCTGTGCACGTTAACAAAGTTCAGAAGCAAAAGATAGGTTGCTCGAATCATAATAATGATGAGCTGTACTATCAGAAAAATAACTCAAGAAAGAGGATTGTCCGAGAAGATGAGTCCCATTGCGCATGCGAGAGGCTCATTAAGGCAGTATTGACGGAATGCGGTTGCTCTAAAAATAATTCAATAAGAGTCTTCGTATTTCAAAGATTGTCTAATGAAACGTCGAGACCCAAAATGAGACGTTTCAATAAGAAGAAACCTGTAATCCGACAAGGTGAGTTCCCTGAGGTCACTATCAACATGACCAACAAAGAAAAGCAACAGTCAATCAATCCCGACCCTGATTTCTCTCCGGGAGGGAGAGTTGAGCGGGGTCTCTCTCAAAGGATGTCGCGATTACAGAGAAGAGCCAACCGACGTCGAGATTACAAGAAGATGCACGAGGGGCTATCTTCAGATGAAGAAATGTCAGATGCTTGTTCTGCTGTCGCTTCGGATGATACCACATCCAGTGTTGGCCGAGTCAGAGAATCATTTGCAATCACATCGGATCAACTGGCTCACATACTGCAGGAAGCGTTGGCTAAACAACGCGAAGAAATTAGAGCTGAATTCAAAACCGAGATGGAGTTGACTATGCAACAGATGCGAGATTTGCAGGTTCAGCAACACCAACCGGAATCAAGCCAAAGAGCAGAATCCAGCTGGCGTAATGAAGAAGATGAGACTATCTTTGACGATCCTCCTCCAGATAAAGACAATTCCGGAAGCGGTCCGGTCAAGTCATCCACTCAACCTCCACAGATCTACTTGAAGAAGAGTGAGGAAGAGGACAAGAAGATGCATGATCTCGAGAGCAAAGTTAACGCTCTGATGACTGCCCAAGAAGTGAAGAAAACGGGCA